GACCCGTGATATAGGGGGGATCCGAACCCTCGGACGGGAGCGCCGCCGCGCTTCCCAAGCGGCGCACTATCCAGTGCGCCACCGGGCCGGCCCTAGCAAAGGAATTTTTAACTTGGATTTATGAACAACTTTTTTTTTATGCAAAACTTTATTTTTTATGTGCACATTTTCCTGGTCCATAGTTTGTTCATTCTATTTCCATAGCACATTAGACAAAGAAAATTATGCTTTTGATATTCTGTATATTCTAGAGTAAATAAAGTCAATTTGTAAAATAAAACAGCATTCTTTTATGAGTTTATAGATGGAAAAAACATATTCTTGAGAAGTAACTTCCATTTGCCTATGAAAAACTTATACTAACTTTACAATTAAGATGACTTTAAAAGTAGACATTACTAAGTCTCATAGGTAGAAAATGAGAACCATGTCCTTATCCTAATATCCAATGTTTCATAGATGGTTTTTAGTGGTAGAACTGGTAGAATCAAAGAGTGGTGTGTACTTAACAATGCTTTATACCAAAATTTCCATCCATGGTTGACAGATTTCCATTCGTTTTCTTCATGGAAAAAAAACCAAAATGTAAAGAAAGGACTCTTTTTCCTTTTGTCAGTTGAAGAGGCACTTGCCTGTTCTTTCCATTTATCTAGGAAAGACCAACCACATAATATTCACTCTTATTAATCTTCATTGAAGCATTCTTCCTTATTTTCTTTCCATTTATAACATTTTTTCTATTTCTTTTTCCTTCAGTTTTTTTTTCCCCCTACCACCAAGCCCTTTGGTTCTAATGAGCATTTAGTAAATGATTCCTAATGTGTTAAGTGCTGGCCACATAAGTGAAGAACAGTTACTGCCTTCATGGGCCTGTTGAAAGTGCTGAACCTCAGAGCTGCACTGTCTAAAAAGGTAGTCACAAACTACATGTGGTTATTGAGCGCTTGAAATGTGGCCAATCTGAGTGAAGATGTGCTTTAAGTGTAAAGTACACAATGGATTTCAATGTCTTAATATAAAAAAGTAAATATCTTATTAATAATTTTTTATATTCAGTACACTTTAAAATGATAGTATTTTGGATATATCAGGTTATATAAAATACATTGTCAAAATTAATTTCATCTGTTCCTTTTTACTTTGTTAATGTGTCCTCTAGAAAATTTAAATTTTCTTATGTGGCTCACCATATTTCTATTGAATAGCACTATATTAGATTACACATTGATTGAGGACAGGGGTTATATCTAAATTATTTTTGTGTCCTACAGGGAACCTACAGCATAGTAAACCCTCAGTAGGTATTTGCTGAATAAATAAATTATATTTTCACATGCACACACAGTACACACAGTTACTGCCTTCATGGATCTCAAGCCCACAGAAGGAGACTGTATTAAAAACATGTTTATTTGTTTCCTTAAAAGTTGTTTGTTTTCACTGTGAATAAGGCACTGTTTAGGCTGTAGTAATGTAAATGTGAATGAAGTTGGTTTTGCTGTCAAGGAATGTGCAGTCTAATGGGGAACGTAGACAAATAACAGACAATTGCAGTATACTGGAGGTGCCCAAAGGGGTTAAATATGTAGTGCTATGGGAACCCCTGTTAAGAATATATAAACTAGTCTTCCAAAGGTCAGGTCACACTTCCTGTGGAAGGGATATCTAATCTGAGAACCTGATGAACTAAATGAATTTAGCCAGGTGTAGCAGGGTGGAGGAATAGCATTTGAGGTATAGTGTACAGCAAGTGCAGAGGCCCAAAGGAATGAGGGGAAGTAATGCATTTGGAAAACTATGAGTTATTCCATATGGATGAAGTGTAAAATGAGAAAAGGATAGTAATAAGAGATGTGGTTGAAGAGGTAAGCAGGGGTCCGAGAGGTATCAAAGACCTGAGAAGTAAAAAGCCATCTGATCCCCTAACCCATGCAACCAATGATCTTTTTATTGCTCTGTAGTGTTGCCTTTCTCAGAATGTCATATAACTGGAGTTACACAGTACATATATTTAGACTGTCTCTTTTCATACTGGCTTCTTTCAGTTGGTGTCATATGCATTTAAGTTTCTTCCACATCTTTTCATGGCTTTGGTAGTTCATTTCTTTTTAGAACTGAATAACATTCCATTGTCTGGATGTATCACAGATGATTTATCCGTTCACTTACTGAAGGACATCTTAGTTGTTTCCAAGTTTGAGCAAGTATGACTAAAGCTGCTGTAGTGATACAGGAAAAATCAAAGGTATGTTTTTCCTACTCTCTACTCTCCACGCAGCACAATAATTCTGACACCAGATGTGTGGGGTTATTTCCCCACACACCATGCAATCAGTTCTGCAGATTCCAGTGGACAGCAACTGGGTGTCTGTCTTCCAATTCAGTTCTGACACTATCTACATGGAGGTAGTGTCAGATTCCACAGATTGAGTCCCCCAAGACTGCCTCTATTTCAGATGGCAGTGGTAAGTCCCAAGTTGTGGCCTGTGCTTCTCACCAACTGGCTATAAATTGAGGTTCCCATGACCCCCTCCTCGAGTTCAGTTAATTTGCTAGAGTAGCTTTCAGAACGCAGAGAAACACTTTATTGGCATTTACCCATTATTATAAACATTATTACAGATTAACAGCCAGATGGAAGAGATGCATAGGGTGAGGTATGGGAGAAGAGATGCATAGCTTCAATGCCCTCTTTAGGGGTGCCAATCTCCAGGAACCTCCATGTGTTCAGCTATCTGGAAGCTCTCTGGACCCAGTTGTTTTGGGTTTTTATGGAAGCTTCATTAAGTAGGCATGATTGATTATAAAATCATAAACCATTGGTGATCACCTCAACCTTCAACTCCTCTCTTTTCTCTGGAGGTTGGGTGGTAGGGCTGAAAATCCTAACCCCCAATCATGCCTTGGTTTTTCTGGTGGCCAGCCCCCATCCTGAAACTATAGAGTACCCCAGCCACCAGTCATCTTATTGTCATACAAAAGACACTCTTACCAGTCTGGCAATCCCAAGGGTTTTAGGAGCTGTATCAGAAAATGGGGATAAAGACCAAATACATATTTCACAATATCATGGCTGGATAAACATCTGTGCAGTTTTTATATGGACATTAGTTTCAACTTATTTGGGTAAATGCCACCGAGCACAATTGCTCGATGTTTTGGTAAGAGTATGTTTAATTTTGTAAGAAACCGCCAAACTGTCTTCCAAAGTGGCTGTACCATTTTGCCTTTTCACCAGCCTTGAATGACAATTCCTGTTGCTCCACATCCTCGGCAGCATTTGATGTTGTCGGTTTTTTGGATTTTAACCATTCTAATACATGTGTAGTGGAATCTGTTGTTGCTTTAATTTGCAGTTCCCTAATGACACATGATATTGAACATCTTTTCATATACTTACTTGCCATCTGGGTATCTTCTTTGGTGAGGTGTCTGTTTAGATCTTTCGCCCATTTTTTAATTGGGTTGTTTGTTTTCTGTTGTTGAGTTTTAAGAGTTCTTTGTATATTCTGGATAATAGTCTTTTATCACATGGGTTTTGCAAATATTTTCTCACAGTCTGTGGCTTGTCTTCTCATTTTCTTGTCATTGCCTTTTGAAGAGCAGAAGTCTTTAATTTTGGTGAAGTCCAACTTGTCAATTGTTTCTTTCATGAATCATGCCTTTGGTGTTGTATCTAAAGTCATTGCCATAGCCAAGGTCATCTTGGTTTTCTATGTTGTTTTTTAGGAGTTTTAAAATTTTGTGTTTTACATTTGGGTTAATTTTTGTAAAGAGTGTATGGTCTGTGTCAAGATTCATTTTTTTTGGACATGGATGTCCAGTTGTTTCAGCACCATTTGTTGAAAGGGTTGTTTTTATTCCATTGCACTGCCTTAGCTCCTTTTTCAAAGATCAGTTAACTATATTTATGTGGGCCTGTTTCTGGACTCTATTCTGTTCCATTGATCTATTTATATTTTCAATTATTAATACCACACCATCTTGATTATTGTAGCTTCATTATCAGTTTTGAAGTTGGCTAGTGTTAGTACTTCAACTTTGTTTTTTTTCCTTCAATATGGTGTTGGCTGTTCTGGGCCTTTTGCCTCTCCATATAAACTTTAGAATTAATTTGTTAATATTCACAAATTATTACACTGTCCTAGGCAATAGGAATATAAGAGGACTTTAAGATGGACAAAAATGTCTGACCTTATGGACCTTTCTAGTTAGAGAAACATTCTATTAGTGTGTAATGAATTTAATATTAGCTGGAAATGATCACCTGTAAATAATTTTTTCTTTAGTTTTTATTTATTTCCCTAGAACTTTTACTTCTATATAATGAGTATATGTAATGTACTATTTACATTTCTAAGTATACTTTTAAGCCAAATAGTAGCTGCCTTTTATTTAGCCTCTGTCACCTGTTAGGAACCCTACATGCTTTATTCTCCAAAAAACACTGCAAAATAGGCTTTCTTATTTCTATTTTATAGATGAGAAAACCAAGGCTTAGAGGTGGTAAGTAATTTACTTTAATCATGATACATAACTAGGAAGCAGGCAATCTGGGATTTAAGCCCAGGTCTGCTGCTAAAATCTGTATGTACTCTTTGTACTATATACCTCATTTCTAATTTTCTTGCATTTGCTCAGGACAAGTAACTTGCTTTTTTTTCTTTCCCAATAGCCACAACATGAAAACACTTCACTCCAGACTCCATTTTCAGAGCAGCCAGTGTCCCATTCCCAGCAAGACGAACTTGAGCACAAGCTTGCATCTACTGAGAAAGAGGTTTTACAGCTCAATGAGTTTCTCAAACAGAGAATAAGCCAATTTAGTGAAGAGAAGAAGAAACTGGAGGAAAAGGTAGGCACTTTTAATAAAGTTGCATTGGGTCAACAACATTCCTTCAACATATAATTATTTGTCATTTACCCTGTGGCAGATGTCATACCAGGTTATACATTTATGTTGAAGTGATTGATTTGTGGTAACTTTTGAAAAACTGTGTTACATGCAAAAACCAAGGATTTTCTTGATGGATAAAAATATCTCTGTATTTTCCAACTAATAATGAAACTATAAGTCAGTTGCCTATACCAGTAACTGTTCTCCTTTTCCTTATTGGGTCTGTCATTTCCTGTTTTTTCATGTTTGGCATAAAGATTTGGTAAATGAAATGAAACTGGTCTTTTTTTCATAATGATATGTCTTTAAGTTATTAAGCTGAAGACCCTGATTCATAATAAGTAGCTAAAACCCAGACACTCTCTCTCTCTCTCTCTCTCTCTCTCTCTCTCTCTCTCTCCTGTACATTTATTCGACCTTTCTGCCTTTATTAAAAGTATTTTCACATATTTCATCTCATCCCAGTAATTAAAGATTAAGTAGGACACATACTAGTCCTAATTTGTCGAAGAGGCACAGATTCTTGAGCTACTACTTAGTGGCAGTGGTATATCTCTCTTGATATACCCAGCTTATTTTTCTGTTAAGTGAGCCTTCCGTTCATGTGATCTTGGAGCGGGTCACCGTGATTTCTGCAGGCAGATTTGGCATTATTAATTCAGTACTCAGTTAATACCTTTTGTGTAAGTGTGTACATACACATGAGTTGACATTTAATCGAAGGGAGCAAGGAAATATTCATTGGTCATACACATGTGTGAGGAGTTAAAATAGTCCCTCACCTGAGACTTTTTAATTAAAAGATTGTGATGAAAATTAAGGATGGACCTAGAGAGAATTATATATTAAGTGAACCGAGTCAGGCACAGAAAGAGAAATATCACATGTTCTCACTTATTTGTGGCAGCTAAAAATAAATAAATACACAAAAAATTTGGCGGGGGAGGGAAGAAGACATAACAATTACAATTCATTTAAATTGATACGACAAGCAAACAGAAAGGACATTGTTGGGAGGGAGGGGGGAGAGGGAGGGAGGTTTCGGTAATTGGGCACAATAATCAACCACATTGTATAATGACAAAATAAAATAAAATTTGGAAGAAAAAAAAGTTAAAAAAAAGATTGTGATGAAAATTAAGATTCAGGGGATGAAAATTTTAAAGTACATTTTTGTTTTGTCTAAATTTTTTTCATCTTTTATTACTATTGGTCTCCAGTGCTTAAAAAAATCAATTTATGTGCTTACTATATATTTGACATCTCCTATGTGGATGTCTGCCTCATGGGAACTTTAAACTTTTCTTGTCCAAAACACAGTTCTTTTTTTTTTTTTTTTTCCTTTTTGTCTTTTTTCGTGACCGGCAACGGATCGCAACCCTCAGTGTCGCGCCCGTACTGGACCAGGACCGGCAACGGGATTGCAACCTTCGGTGTTGTGCCCGCACCTCGCTCAGCCAGTGAGCGGCCGGTCTGTGTGTGGGATCCGAACCCTCGGCGGGAGCGCTGCTGTGCTCCCAAGCGGCGCACTGTAGCAGTGCGCCACTGGGCTGGCCCCCAAAACACAGTTCTTAATTTGCCTTCTGACTGCCTTACTCTTTTCAAACAAAACAAAATAAAATTTTCTTCAGTGTTCATTTCTATATATTTAGCTACTCATGCTAGAAACTTTAGTAAATCTAATCAAGCCTGTCTTCTAAGTATGTGAAGAATTTGTTCATCACTACCAGCCTGGTCTAAGTCATCATCTCTTGGCAAAGCTTTTGTAATAACATCTTAAATGATATCTCTGAATTCACTCTTGCCCTGCCTATCTGCTGTCCCTTACTCCCAGTCACTTCTTTTGTTTTTGTTTTTTTGTGTGTGATTCTACGTATTTTACTTATTATACTTTTAAAAATTGAAGCATAATTTGTATATAGTAAAATGTATAGGTGGGTGTTTGGTTTGATGAGTATTGCTAATGGTACATACCCATATAATTACCACCCAAAATAAGATGCAAAACATTGCAATCCATTTCCTCCCATTCCATAGGTTGCCTTTCCATCTTGTTGATTGTTTCGTTTGCTGTGCAGAAGCTTTTTAGTTTGATGTAATCCCACTTGTTTTTGTTTTTGTTACCTATACTTTTGATGTCATATCCAAGAAATTATTAACAGGTCCCATGTCTAGAAGCTTATACTTCTGGGAATTTTAACAGTTTCTAGTCTTAGGTTTATGTCTTTAATCCATTGTGAGTTGATTTTTGTGTATGCTGTGATAAAAGTGTCCAATTCATTCTTTTACATGTGGATATCCAGTTTTCCTGACACCATTTATTAAAGAGGCTATCCTTTTCCTATTGTATATTTTTGTCAACTTTGTCAAAGATAAGTTGACCGTATATGTGTGGGTTTATTTTTGAGCTCCCTATTCTGTTCCATTTGTCTATATGTCTATTTTTATGCCAGTACCATGCTGTTTTGATTATTGTAGCTTTGTTTAATATATAATGAAATCAGGGAGTGTGATACCTCTAGCTTTGTTCTTCCTGCTCAAAATTACTTTGGCTATTCAGAATCTTTTGTGGTTCCATATGAATTTTAGGATTTTCTTTTTGTATTTCTGTAAAACATGCCATTGGGATTTTCATAGGGATTTTACTGAACGTGTAGATCACTTTGTGTAATATGGACATTTGAACACTGTTTTTCCAATCTGTGGACCTGGGATGTCTTTCCATTTATTTGTGTCTGCTTTAATTTCTTTCATTAGTGTTTTACGGTTTTCAATATACAAGTATTTTACTTCCTTGTTTAAGTTTATTCCAAAGTATTTTATTCTTTTTGATGCTATTGGAAATGAGATTGTTTTCTTAATTTCCTATTCAGATAGTTCAATCCTGTACAAATGAAACTGATTTTTGTATGTCGATTTTATATCCTACATCTTCATTGAATTCATTTAGTCTAACAGTTTTTTGGTGGAGTCTTTAAGGTTTTCTATACATAAGATCATGTCATCTGCAAACAGAGACAATTTTACTTCCTTTCTGATTTGGATGCCTTTAATTTCTTGCTCTTGCCTAATTGCTCTGGGTAGGACTTCCAGTACTGTGTTTAACAGGAGATGAAAGAGTAGGCATCTTTGCCTCATTCTGGATCTTAATTGCTTTCAGCTTTTCACCATTGAGTGTGATGTTAGCTGTGGCCTTTTCATAAATGGCATTTATCATGCTGAGGTAAGTGTTTTCTATACCAAATTTGTTGAGAGCTTTTATCATGAAAGGTGTTGAACTTTGTGAAATGCTTTTTCTGTATCTAATGAGATGATCATAAGATTTTTGTCCTTTATTCTGTTAATGTCGTATATAACATTGGTTGATTTGCATATGTTGAACCATCTTTGCATCCCAGTGGTAAATTTTACCTAGTCATGGTACCATGGTCCTTTTAATGTGCTGTTGAGTTTTGTTTGCTAATATTGTTGAGGATTTTTGCCTCTATGTGCATCATGGATATTAGCCTGTACTTTTCTTTTATATTTTAGGTTGAGCATCCCTAATCCAAAAATCTGAAATGCCCCCAAACTTAAAACTTTCTAAGCATCATCAAAGGAAATGTTCATTGGAGCTCTTCAGATTTTGGATTTTTAGATTAATGATGTTCAGCCAGTTAAGTATCTGCAAATATTCCAAAATTTGAAAAAGGATTGGAATTTGAAAACTCCTGGTTCTAAGCATTTTGGGTAAGGGATACTCAACTTGTAGTATCTTTCTCTGACTTTGGTATTAGGGTGACTTTGGACTTAGGAAGAGTTTGGAAGTGTTCCCTCTTTTTCTGTTTTTTTGGAAGAATTAAGAAGGATTGGTATTAATATATATTTTTAAATGTTTGGTAGAATTAACTGGTGAAGCCATTTGTCTTGGGCTTTCTTTGTTGGGAGTTTTTTTTTATTACTGATTCAATCTCCTTGTTTGTTATTGGTCTTAGTTTAGGCTTTCTATTTCTTCTTGATTCAGACTTGGTAGGTTTTATGATTCTAGCAATTATCCATTTATTCTAGGTCATTCAGTTTATCGGCATATAATTGTTCATAATAGTCACTTATGATTCTTTTTATTTCTGTGGCATCAGATGTAATGTCTTCCTCCTTAATTTTGATTTTATTTGAATCTTCTGTCTTTTATTCTTAGTCCAGCTAAGGGCTTGTCAATTTTGAAAAACCAGCTGTTAGTTTCATTGAGTTTTTTCTGTTTTTATATTCTCTTTTATTTATTTCTGTTATAATCTTTATTATTTTCTTTCTTCTGCTAATTTTGGATTTGTTCTTTTTCTGTTTACTCGAAGTATAAAGGTAGACTGTTTATTAGAAATCTTTCTTTTTTAATATAGGCATTTATTGCTGTAAACTTACATCTTGGTACTGCTTTTGCTGTGTCCCATGAGTTTTGGATTTTTGTTCTTCCCTCCTCCCCGGTGATATTTTCTAATTTCCTTTTTGATTTGTTCTTTGACCCAATAATTGCTTAAAGGTGGATTGTTGAATTTCCACATATTTGTGAATTTTCCTGTTTTCTTTCTGTTATTGACTTTGTTTCATTCTATTGTGATTGGAAAAGATACTTAGAATGATTTCAGTCATCTTAAATTTGTTAAAACTTGTTCCTGATCTAGCATGTGATCTGTCTTGGAGAATGTTCCATGTACATTTGAGAAGAATTAGTATTATGCTCTTGTTGGTTTGAATGTCTGTTAAGTCTGTGTTGTTCATTTCTGCTGTCTCCTTATTCATTTTCTGTCTGGATTCTCTCTCCACTACTGAGAGTAAGTTATTGAAGCCTTCTATTATTTTATTGCTGTATTTCTTCCTTCAGATCTGTGTTTTTTGTATTTATGTGTTTTGATATGGAGCGCATGTATATTTATAACTGTTGTATCTTTCTGTTGAATTAACCCTTATATCATTACATAATG